TTCTGGTGGAACCGACCTTCGAATCTCTTCACCCAACACTTCTACTCGAAATGGAAGTAAGCCCAACAAAAAAAATCGCGCGCACTTTGACTAGTGGAATATAAACAAGTCAGAAGTTGTGATAGGGCGGTAGTTGGATAAGAGAGTCAAGAGTAGATAAATGGCCCATGACAAAAAGAGGAGTGATGGTGTAACTATTTATCGGCAAAACAATGGTCGAGGGGTTGATTTCACTTGTCTCTGACGTGTTCGTAGCTTGGTGTGGAGAATGGCAAGACTCACTGATGATGCCGGCGAAACGTCTGATAATGTGCCAAGTCCACGGACTGATGCTGGCAATTATGATAACTACTGACAGAGGACTTCGGACAAGGTACGCTCTACTAACTCACCCTGATAACAAAACAAAGTTGCGACGAGGTCAACCCACTTCTAAATTTACTCAAGTTTCCGATATACTTTTTTATAGGACCTGTATAAATAAAATTCCCAGCACTAGGGCGTCGAATCTGTCATCTTTCAGTTCCTCCAAGTTGTCCTCATCGTGGCTCGAAAAGGCTAATTAGTTACCCGCCCGTTTGAATAAGAGCTAACTACATACCAAAGCAAAAATTATACTATATCCCTAAGTAAGTGATGCTCCTTGGTTCATAAGGCCTTCCTAACTTACATAAAAGAGCGGATAGACTGGTTGGGGAAATTCCTTTATTATTTTGTTGTGACAGAAAATTCTACAACCTGAATGTCATAATTCATTTAAAAATATTAAATACGCAAACAGGAACAAAAATTTGCGGCGAAAAAGGTTAGCTAATTGTAAAAAAATTTCCATAAGACTGTTATCGAGAGAAGTTGAGTCCTGTTAACTAATGTGATGAAAATGTATGTTATAAGTGTGAAGAGAAGTTGAGCATTTCAATCGGTTAATGATTAGTTTGTCCATTTGTTAGGTATATAAATAGCAAAAATTTGTGCCAAAAAATATGGCTATTATCAGATCTTGGATATGTGGATATTAAATTTGCTCATTAGAAGCATGATAAAGATAAGTGCAGTACTATAAAATTTTTATGGCGCCGTTTTCAAGGCTCCTGACCTACATTCTGCCTTTTTCCACCCCGCTTGCCAATTGGTCTCTCGTAAACATCAAAATCACTTGGTCATATTGGTAGGAAGACCTAAAGGAACGCACCTAGTCCGGAGTACATTTTATGCTCGATAATTTACAGTCGGACCGTGGACGTTGTACATTCCCAGACGTTTAGCCGGCATCGTCAGTGAGTATTGCCATTATTAGCACCACACTACAACTCGTCAGAGACAAGTGGAGCCGATCCTTTGACCAAACGTGTCCTAAACAGTTGTGGCATCTATCCTGCTCTGGGCTATTCATATTTCCCAGATTCTGCTATCACGCCTTCACTGTTACAATTTTTACCGTGATTATTTAGATTTAGTGTGGTGTGCTCCTTTGAGCAGCATTCATGAAAAAATGTATACTAGCTTATTTTTGAGTATCTAGTAAAAGTTACCCTGAGAAGACAAAAAAGAATTAGGAGCAAAGGGCCTGAGAAATCAGAGGTTGTTTTAACTTATTATTTTTTTAACCAACTTGGCGCAACTGGACATAAGACAGGGCCTCCCTAATGGCTAGGGCTGCTAAATATTCCCCTCTAAGCCATAATCTTTTTCCGAGCCTTGTGGAAATAGTGACTTAATGCAGCTTTTGAATTATATGGGGCGGTAAAATGAATCACGAAGATAAAAGTATTAAGATTCAAAACTTATGATTGAAACAAAAAGACTATTAAGTTACTTTTTGAACTTGATCTTATTAATGAAGAGCTGACGCACTCTGTAGTAACATTGCTAGAGAAGGCACCCTGGCATTCCGAAATACTCGTGGGTGGAGCAACAATTCTATCCGACTCTTTAGTAAGGGGTTCGTTTTGAAGCTTGCCAGTGGCAGAATGTGGAATACCACCTGAACTAGATGGGATAGGAGGTTGGTCATCATGGATGAGAGCCGTCTGTGAATCATCACTATCCCCAGTATCCGCTTGTGCATTATATTGGCAAACTCGTGAAGACACATTCGCAGGATTTGAAAGAGAAGCATTACCAATCGAGGAGGCATGATCTATAAAAAAATAAAGAGTATGATCAAAAGGTTATGAAAAATGTTACTATAATAAATAGGACAAAGTGCTAACCGTGAGGAGTAAATGATTTTGAAAGAGACACAAGTTCTATGGTGTTCAAGTCAACCGGGTGTCTTGAGTGGTAAGGAAGCAATCTAGGATTTTTCTTGAGGGATACCCATCCAGGCGGCTCCGTA